TGTAGTTCTACTGAAGGTGGATTGAATTTCAACACAATGTTCCGTTTTATATTTTAATGTTTCTTTCTTAGTGGAATACCACAGATAATATATAACATATACACAGGTTATCCTGATGTTTACAAATTAATATTAAAAACAGTAAAAATTATTTCTAGTGGAAAGCCACAATGTTATCACTTGGAAATCCAAAATCTAACTGTCCCTCAATTTTCTACATATATCTTTACAATATTTCTAAAATTGATTTCGTTTTAAACTGACCAAATGAATTTTAACATTTTTGTGTCTTAAATAACAAAATGGCCAATCAGGTTTCAATACAAAATAATGAAACATAGCAACATAGAATTTATAACAACAATCATCACCTGGATATTTTATCAGTCATAAGGTTTAACAACATGATAAGTACAGACAGCTTAATTGACCTTATCACCTATATATTATAAAACTTTTAGCACAGTTGATTGGACAAAGAGGAAAAGCCGCATTTTAATCTTCCAGTTACATAATTTTAAATTTGACATCTGTTATTGAAACATATAATATTTGTAACTTAACATATTTGAAATTTCACAAATTTTGTTTTGAAAATATGACCTTTTAGAAAATGATTATATATATAAATATTTGTGTTTAAAAGAAAATCATCATGCATATTTATTCCTTTTTTTTATAAATGAATTTTATCATTTTTCGGCTGCACAACAGTAGACTGGTGTTTGATCAAGTCTGTTTGGTAAGGCGTTTAAAACAAATGTCAAATCAGTTACTTTTCTTAGTATTATGCCAGTCAAGAAAATGGAGAGTTTCATTGACATGGTTAATAAAGATACACATCTTAATACAATCATTTATATATACTTGTATTGTACTGGTATGTTGGACATGTAATTATTATCCATATTGTAAAAAATAAGCAATTTCCATCAAGTGTTTCTGACACAAAATATATAAAATGCTTTGTTAGGTCTAATAAAGTTTATCTTGGGCTTATTCTTGTATGACTTTAAACATGACTCCTCTCAGGTTCTCCGATATAATAATGGAACAGGAAATATCTTTTCGAGATTGAAATTCCACTTGGTGTAGGACTACACAAATATCTTGTGTGCAAACTTTTTGAGCTTTTCCAGAATAACCATTCTAATTGTGAAAAAATTATCTTTTCAAAATAGCAAATCTAGAAATGCCAAAAGTAACAAAAACATACACTGTTCTACTCCGAAATACATGAAGGGTCTGCCGGGGGGGGGAGTGGGCTATAAATATGTAAGTGTTAATGTGAAAACATAAAATACTATTTTGTTCTGTGAACAATATTTCAATAAATGTCATTTAAAGTCTAAACACATTAATTTGCTTTAATACATACCTGCAGAAATAATGGCGATTTTTTTTTACATGCAAGGGCATTAATTTCATGTGTTTAAGTGAAACTGTACACATAGTAAACTATCTCTATTAACTTATTATGATATTTTGCTTAATTATTTCCTGTACATGTACATATGAAAAGCGACTTTTAGTTAAAACGATGATTTGTTCATTTGACTACATTCTTTTAAGTATAATTATACAATTTAGCAGTAAATATTTTTCAAAATATAAAATTAAATGTAAGTAATTAAATGTCTGTAAAAGAGAAATGGTGCTGCTTATCTATCCTGTTCGTAATGATCCCCGACTGATAGAGACGTTATACAATTTGTAGTATCAGATATTTTGGTTAAAGCGTTAAAGCGTGATTAAGTCATTGATATTGCCTTCATAAATTCGAATAATATGTTGTTGTTTTTTTCAGATAACATATAAGACCCACATGTCACGACGTAATTATGATCTATGCTTCTTTCATAGATACATCGTTGACACAAGAGGACAGAAAATTCAATTTTCCTGACAGGATTGCAAGCGATAACTGATTCGACCTTTGATATATTGCCCTACAAATCATCTATGATATATGACGTGTGTAGCAATAATTGTGGATCCATAAGAAACTAAGGAAGAGAAAATCAAAAGCAAAAAAAAATCACAACGTTTTTTTTTGTAATTTATTAACAGCTTTTTAAGGATATGGAAGTAAATATTAGTAAGATAACATTATTATCGCTATGTAGGACACTTTTGATGTGCACAATGATATACATATTGTTAACCGTGCAAATTATTGAGTTTGGTATGCAATAACACGGGCTACAACTAAAATTGTTCCAATGCTTAAGGTGCCGTAAACAATCAATATGAATCATTTAAAAAAAGAGCATGGCGAGGAAGACAGATACTCATTAAATATATTTTATAATAGTGTTATGTATGGGGTATACATTTTGTCATTTCTGATACACCTATATGTTAGATATGAATTACTTACTGGATATCTTTAATTGTATCATACTTACATTAATTGGCATTCTGCGTTCTGACCACAATGTAAATATTTGGCCTGTCTTTGGATGGATATATGATGATTTCATTATACCCTGTAGACATATATCTCCTGTGTATGTAAATATTGTACTCATACTCATGAGTGCTTATACCAATAAAATACTACGTTATCATGATGAATATCAATCTCTCAAACCCTTCAGGATGTAATCTATGACATCTCTGTGACAGGGCGGATGTACCGAATAATTATTAAGGCATTTTTTAGACAATTTAAGCCACACAATTGATCTTTCCAGCTTCATGTTTATCTTACTATTTATTTACTTTCTGTTTGATGTCACGTATTTCCTTGAAATAGTAAATAATCTCATATAGTACGGTAGAATATGTGTGTTATATGTATGCAGAAAACGTAAGTATTACAAAATTGACAACGACCAAGGGAAGTTACAGTAAAACGTACCGAAAGTGAAACATTCAAGATTTATTACCCTTGATTTGATATACATGTATTTTTGAAAATATTATATACACCAATATAAGTGAATTTAAGATGCTTATTATTTATATTGCAAAATACTAAACTTTACATATCTTTGCTATAAAAGGACCTTTAAATATTCACGTACTTTAATTCATCGGAACATCACACGATTGAAAACGATCATAACACAAAATCAAAATTATCAAATGAGAATATTTCAGCATTAAATTTGTATTACTATAATAATCATCAAGCAAATCAAAATGAACAAATTTTGAAAGAAGAAAAAAGAGACAGAATTTTAAACACTGCACGCCTCAACTAAAGTTAACTATTATCTAAAAAAAGAGTAGAAATCAACGAAACAAACCTTATAAAGATATATCAATAGTTAAGGAACATATCATTGAAGTATTCTACACAACATAACAATCAGAGTACGGGCTATGTGTCAACATTGTTTACACTTGAAGTGCAAGCTTTATTTTGGTGTCTGTAGTTTATAAAATATTATGTTTGCATTTGGATTGGGAATACTTTAAAAACACTTGTATGAACGGCATGCATTTGTATATTTCCTAAAGAACGAATGGTGCTATGGTTAAAAACATTGTTCTTAAACATTTTATTATGTTTGCCTACGATACCAATGTGTGTAAAATAACAGAGTCTGGGACATTCTAGGTTATAAGCAAATCATTCAAGAATCGACTATAAATTTACTTAAAAAAGGCAGATAATTTTACGATGATTTATAAAATGTTTATGATAAAATCATATACACTTTTAAACACAAGATCATGTTTTATCAACTCCAATTATATTAAAGGATAGCTTTATTTTTTTTTTCACAATGGCACATTTTACCATGATCATGATAATATAAGTGATTGGAAATTACATGTATTTGCGGCACATACATTTACACATCTATTAAGCCTATTTAAAAAAATTCAAAAACGTTTAGATGCAAATATTTAAAAAAAATCATTGTTATATCGAGAAAACATTTTAAACAAATAACTTTATATACTGAAGTAAAGGGTGTGAAACAGCAGCTGCACGTTTTATTGTACCTTTAAAATGTTCAATTTTATTCTAAATGTGGTGACATAATGATTGTTGAATAATCATTATGTCAATCAAAGAGTAAATAACCTGAATAAAACACTTCAAAGAAATGCGAGAATTTAACCAAGACATCTATATAAATATCAAGACGCAAATGTTCTTAATTTGTTTCAGGGATTATGTTAATGCAATTCTAGTTAATTTACAAAACAGTATTTTTCAATTTTTGAGCTCGATTTATAAGAAAGATTTTCGCATATTTCGATCCATCCTGATGCAATTCCGCTACTAGTGCCATGTTAGGAACATGGTCGCACCACTAGTAGGGCTTGAACCAATGATCCCTGGTTTCTTGTCATGTGATAGGAACAAAATGCAAAAATTACTATAACAACCATGGCGTGTGGTCACGTTTGGAAACCACTTGCCACTTTTTCTTCATAGTAATTGTTTGTACCTGAGACTACTTAGTGTACTCATTTCGAGGACATTAATTAAATAGTGGATGAAATTCAGAAAGAAAAAAAATCATTTATACTTTAAAACTTTGCAAACTAAACATATAATATTGTACATGCCTAAACAAAGTCTATAATAGTTAGATGGAAACAAAAACTATATATGAGCCGTGTCACGACAAAACCAACATAATGGGTTTGCGACCAGCATGGATCCAGACCAGCCTGCGCATCCGTGCAGTCTGAACAGTATCCATGCTGTTCGCTATCAGTTTCTCTACTTGTTATAGGGTTTGTAAGCGAACAGTATGGATACTGATCAGACTGTGCGGATGCGCAGGCTGATCTGGATCGATGCAAACACATTATGTTGGTTTTGTCATGACGCGGCCCTTATATCTTACAAACAACTTTATAACTATAACTTCTACATTTACCGAAATTTCGAAGTTAACGCTTATTTAAGATATAATGTTAAAATTGATTTGAAACAATGAAAACACATATTAAGGAAAAAATCATTTAATTTCCATAGTTAAAAGAAATAATAAAAAAAAAAGAATTAGAAAAAATAAAACTCGGTAAAGGAAAACGGTAATGATACATTTTATTAGATGCAATCCATAACTAAGCAAATTTAAAATATGTTCAAAGAATATACACAAACAATACATGACTAATCCTCGTTTACAGCTTTCAATCACACATATCTGTGTATTGTTATTAATAGATAAAGTTAAGTTAAGCATTATGCACACAAATGTTTAGCTAAATATGTAATTTAATTATGAGTTACTAGTCTTGTTAATCCAACAACCCTTTCGTTTGACTTTCTACAGAGGCACTGCAGTAGTTATCATTGGTTGAAACAGCTTCATTTATCTAAGGTCATGTATTTCTTATTATCTTGAAACTTGGTCGCTTATGCGGATTTTCTTCTCATGTTTTGCTTTACTTACTCCATACCATCTAGTCAAAGGGAAACAATTGGTAATATATTAAGTAGCAAATATATATCGTAAGTATATTCTAATTCAGTAAAAAGATATATTGGAATTATCATACATAATCAGTGCTATAATAAGTAAATTGCATGCCTCTACAATTGTTAAGAGCACATTCGTTATTACTTTCATTATTCTTTCTTATTCTATTATTGTGTATATTTGTTGAATGAGATGCTTAACTCTATATATTATATCAATTTCTCTTATACATATTTTTACCTTTCTTGCTTAGTTGATTAATGTTTCTAAATTATTCAAAATAAATTATTACAAACAACATTTACAGAAACTTCTTCATTACCTCTAACCTCCGATTTGATTTCGGCATCAGACTTCCTATCTACACCTCGTTCCACAGGTTTCATATGACCTCTTCTTATAAGAATCACAAATAATGCGATAAGAAATCCTACTATTATCAAGCTGCCTGCAATAAAAGGTAAAACAAAAGCAACTCTTGTTACATCATTGATGTAGAGATCTTTTAATTATTTATTAGTATTTTTAGTTACATTATGACTTTGTTTATATAGAAAGTCATGCTAATCTCAAACGTTTTATATTGATATAATAAACAAACTAAAAACGACTTGAAAATCTAATTAATTTCTCTGGGTGAATTGGGTTTTTTCTTATAATATTTTTTTAATCAAATAATATTATAATTTTATGCATTATACATGTAGCTTACTGACAACAATGCCTGCAATCATCCAGCCCGACACGTTATTTTCCTGTAGAGCTGTAAAAAATAAATCCTCATTATTGAATAAGCTATTAGGTTAAAAGAAGCCGAAATTGATGCTTATTATAATAACAGATTATTATTATTATTATTATTATTATTATTGCTATTTCATATTAGTTAATAACCAAAGTTTACAAACATCAATTTAATAAGTAAAACTAATGTGAAAAAAGACGGACTTAAAAGAAACATCCTATCATTTTGCATAAGCAATTAGACCATAGAATTTTAGCAAATTGACATATTAACAGATAGTAACCTGAAATAAAATATGTTGCTTACCGAAGTTTTAAGTCATCTGCTCATTAAAATTATATTAAAAAAAACAAAAGAAAACAACAAGAAACACAACAAAAACCAAACAAATCAAAGAAAAAAAACCCCACTATTTCTGGGGTCAAATAAATAAAAACAGATGGGGATGCTCAGATGCTAATAGTTATATTGTCATACAGATTAACTAAAACGTTTTGTATCCGATAGATACGATAGTCCTTTCGAGAGGTCCATAATATGCAACCGTTACTTTTAAGCCTATAATGATGTTTTTCTTCTTTCATACAGATTAACATGCAGAAAAGAAAAAATAAAAAAGGGGGGGGGGGGGGGCGACATGTACGAAATACAGCCCCAAACCAGTCACACGACCAATATTAGTTACACATATCAACAGATGTTCTCCGGAACACGGAAAATGTAGGTTTTCCCAGCTAATATAAAGGTACATCAAAGCTTTACCATTTTAGCTTCACGGTGCACTACTCGTCACAATAGAATAGTCAGCCTGTTGCGCTTGTTTCGAACCTGTAACTGTAAACGTTAAATTGTACCTTCGAATAAGCTTGGAAAGAAAACAAATCTTCTTAATTCCGGAGTTAGTCTATTACATGAAGCAATTTTGTTTAAAAGATTTACCCGTCTTAAATGTGTACGGCAGAACAGCCAACTGGGTTTCTTTGTAACCCAAATTAAACGATACACTGTAGTCCTGACCAGGTTGAAGTCCAACTAAGTCGACGGACGTTCGTTCTTTGTGGACATGCATAACTCTCGAGGATCCATCCGAGTTATACAAAGTGACATCGATATTTGCTTTCCCGTAGCAGGAAGATGTTTCCGGCAAGTCCCACATGAGCCTAATTCCTCCAGTAAAAATCTTCTGCACTCGAATATTCACAGGACCAGAGTCTAAATCATTTCAATATGTATAAAACATATCTACATTTAATGCCATACCAAACCTGAATTAAAGCATGCTTTACTTTGATTATGACATTTGTTTTATGTACCAATTATGTGTTTACGTTACTGTTTAGATGAAATGTACTACTTTAATGTAAACATTTATATGAAAATATCTCCTACCGGTATTACATAATATATTGTACTTGTTCAAGACATATCTGCAAGCCTTTCTTAAGGTATTAGGACCCTAATGGGCACTATAAGGAACTTAAAAATTGACATCATATGTCAGATGTATACCTTAAAGTACACCCGTATGCAAAAATTAAACAAAGTTTACCGTACGGAAATCAAGTTATGGCCTATTTTCTGAACTCAAGCTAGGATGTTATGAGGGCCCTTTTTTAGAAATGATGAACCTTTAAATAATCTGCAATAACTTTCTAATGAAAAAATGTTTTCCCATTAATTTTTGGTAAGAAACAAATAGTACCATTCAGCTAACAATCTACATTAGCAAAATTATGGTTTCTACATAAAATTTATGAAATCTGTATAAAAATGTTACCCTACCCCACCCATTTTTACCACGTGTCTGACCATTTTTCTACTTTGGGAGCCTAATTTAAAAAATTCTTAAAATTTACCCAAATGAGTGCCTGTTTTCAAAGTTTCCCTAAATTTTTAAAAAAGTATATTGGTTGATCTTGTAAAATATGAAATACTTTTACCGTCTAGTTTTGATTATATTACACTTTGAAAATATCAGGTATCATATTTATTACTAGATTTAGCATAATTTAGCCAATAAATACCTATATAAATTAAAAAATCAAAATTAAACACCTTTTTCTTTTCAAATGGGACATGAGAGATACATAAATAATGTTAAAAGAAAAAAAAGAAAGAAAAAAAAAGTTGACCCTTCTGGGGATTGAACCCATGGCCCTCATTTTCAATGTAGTTAACAGTAGTTCTAGCCTATTTGAATACTCTTCAACGCGGAGGTAATGCATTAGGGTGCTAATACCTTAAAATGTTAAATCTTGAATATTGCAGGATAATGAAGGTCTTGGTTGAGGGATAACTTACAGTATTCTAATCCTTTAAGATCTGTCAACTGCTTTATCTGCAAAGGTATGCCGTTAATGTAAGTTATCATTTCATACCAATCATATTATTTTGCTAAATCAGTTTAAAATAATACAAAACCGTTTGCTTTATACTAAACCTAGCTACATGTATATATCGTAGATAGAGAAACTTTTTCAGTAGATATTGTTATGAAATTATAAGATTATCAACAATTTTGATTACAACTGGACATCTTTTTTCGTGTTCAGATTTCATTTATACCTGTTTTGTAAATTTCGTATACAGAAGGGCTTGATTGTATACTTCGACCTCTATTCTTGCAGATTTATTTAAATCTTCTTTTGGAACAAGGAACCAACAATTATCAATATCTAACTTCTGTGGAGCAAGGAAACAACTATACAGCACACATCTGCATGCAGGAATCTTAAAACAAGCGTCCGTTGCCTGGAATTAATTCATTGAAAGCATGTTTTACGGAGTTAACAATTAAGAGCGGGTAATGAAATAACACTTGAATTTCAGACAGATTAATTAAGCTCACATTTAAAATTACGAATCCCGATCATTTGTCATAAAACATCTGCTGTGTCAAACGTTATTCTGTTTTAAATAACATAAACTGTTCATATAATAACACAATCATTAGAAGAAAGGTTAACATTTACTGCAATCAAGACATTGTAAAAGCATATTACATCCGAGCTTAAGACTGAAATATTTTATTGTATAATATTTTTCTAATGAAAATATGGATTCTGTAACGGAAAGTTACATATTTTGTAGATCTTTCAAACGTTTATATAATTTGTTACATAGATGACAAGAGAGCCTAGTGAAAGGGGTTATTTGAACGACTCTGATAATAAAACAAGAGCATCAAGATATTTAATGTCGTATTAATGAAGAATAATTGGTACAATACCTTGATGTGTGTTCATATGTTCCGTTTACGATATTTACATGTAAATGATCATTGGAAACTCTAGGAGGTGTGTTATCTATGTGCACTTCTGTGTAATCGGCAAGGGTGTGGTTCATTATATCTGTTGCTCGAACCCATAATCTTACACGAATCCCGTCATTGAGTTGTTCATTTATTTCGAAATTTTCAGACAAATCAGTCGTTATCCATCCTGATGTTGGCTCCTGGTTAAGACATTTGTATGAAACAGAAACGAAAATAGTATAAATTCATATACTCCATGATTATTCACTCAAGATACTAAGTGTTTGTGTCTTACGGATAAAACACTATTCAGAAAATCAAATAATTCTTGCCAATGAGAACAAAAAAGAGAACAATAGTAAAACGTTGTCACATATGTGATATGAAGATGTACATTCAATACTTTATCGATGGATAAGTTCTAAAATTTACTTCTAGATATCATTTTATAGAAATATGACAGTATCAATAAAAGGCATATGAAACAAATAATAAATATATCAAGACCAAACTTTAATTGCTTATTTCAGATTTATAATCTATTTCTTGCAACAGAGCTTCAGAAAGTAAATTTTGCATTTGTTTTAGCTGCGCCTAACATTTTCATTGAATTGACGATTTGATGGACAAGCTTAGTGAATTAAGAAATTCTTATTAATTCTATACTTGGTGTGATTAAAGAAAAACTGCTATTTATTAATATAGTATTAAATCCAGTTTCTCTATAAATATATTTATAGGAAATGCCTGTTTGAAATATAATGAAACATACCAAACATTGGTGGTTATAACAAATGGCAATACGAGTATCTGGATCTATGTTTATTTTGTATCGAAACTTGTCAGATTTTAAGTTGGCAGATTTTAACTATCTCCGTAAATGGAACCACTTACAATATAGTAGAGATTTTACCGGCAGCCGGAGAAAGATTCTAATAATATAGATCCAACAATATGAATATGTTAATAAATCAAAATGAACTTGAGGGTTATACATTTCATATTCAAGAAATTTGAAATTATCTCGGTATGATCTCTACCTGCCTATCATCTGTGTAAACCATACTGACTTCAAATTTTACAATACCATGTATGTTTTGAATAGCACTATGTGTCCTTGTACCTTCGTTATCTGTTAGAGTCACATACCTATTGTAAAGTGGAATATACAGTTTCTATTATATGTAAACAGATTTATTAATAAGTATAGATTACTTATTCGGTAACGTTTAAGCTTCCATACCGCATTGCGTTTTTTAAAACATCATAGTTTAATTATATGTCGTTAGTATTTGTATCTACCTATCGTAATAAAACACCGTTTATATCAATTAAGTAGATAAGCAACAGAAAAGATATATACGATTACCTCATTGGAAGTTTCAATTAATTTAATCCGTATTCAATGATAAGAGTGTAAAGACACTTTTTATCCACATAGTAATATGGTCTTATTTAAGAAAGGAAAATTATCAGGTTGCAGTATGTGTCCTTGGTTACATAGAAGGTATATTGAACGAAACCAAACATATTCCTGTCAAAAATTATAATTATTACAAACTTTTTGCTTCTTAGGACACCGTCGTCTTGCAGGTCTGCAAATTGTGTGGGATATTTCAAAACTCGGTTTAGTAGTTTCCCTTGATCATAAATTGTGTTGACAAAATTGTTTTTCCAGTTCAAAACAATCCTTGTTTTATTCTTTTCATTTGAGGTCTGCCACATGTAACCTGTTTCAGGTATTGCTGTTATGACATGCATACCACCATCTCCAATCTTAATGTCTGACACGTTAATTGGCATGTTAGGATTAAAGGCAGGTTTAGTTAAGGTAATTGAAGAGTCGTTGTCATACAAAACTAATCTCCTTGCAATTTTAGAATTATTAGCTTTGTCTGATACTTGCAAAAGTATGGAATACATTCCTGCTTCCGGAGGATAGTATGTTGGAAAGTTTAAAGAAGACGTTTTATTTGTTTTGAAATGATAAATTGGTTTTAATGGCTGTAGTTCCGTAAGATCATTTTGTGTATTTGGTTCCAACTTGAAGATCTCAAGGTAGTAATAAGCGATTCCAGATAAAGCGTCCGACCATCCATCCCAACTGATGTGAATAGGTTTCTTCAAGAAGCAAGTATTGATGTTATTGTAGACAAATTTAATATCAATATTTCTAGAATAGATATAACAATAATATTATTCCATAATTATTTGAAAACAATGAAAAAAAAATTATCCAAATATTTTCTTATCAGATAACTACTTAGTAAATATAAATCATAAGATAATAATTTTTTTGAAACCTTATTTACCTCCGTGATATCATTTCCGACATCGATTGGTCTCTCTCCGTAGCTACAAGTATTTCTGGCACCGATTTCAGAACAGTGTTCAGGTGCAATGAAATCAAATCTGATTTCAACTTCCTTGGTAGTCATTTGGCCAGTATAGATTTGTGTTGACCCATTTCTATTTGTATCTTTGTTATATAGTGTCCTAAAGCCACCAGTTTTCGTGGAGTAGGTCACGGTGATGCTGTGATAGAAAACAAACACAATGTTGTATTGAATGTAGATATCGCGTTACGGTACTAATACGCCAAAGAAAACCGTTGATTGGCTACTGGTGTATTGTTTTGTAGACGCAGTCTATACAAACGGGACATATATGTTCATAGTAACGGTTGTCTAATATGAAATAAGACAGAATAGAAATGAAGAAAAGTAAAACTTTGAAAAATAGTTCGACCTATCTTAAAGTATAAACAGCATTCTCAGAAACAGGATATTAAAAATAGTTGACGTTGTTTCGTTACTTACAAGTCGTTATGTTCAATATAAACTCTGTAGTTGTCTTGTATTTCACAGGATGAAAGTGTATCGCGCGGTGCTGTATTTGATAAGCCACTACAGTTGTAGTTTCTGTCGAAAGCAACGTGTCTTCCGGTGTTGTCACCTAACAATCATATTAATTATCTGTGCACTATAATTAAATTTTTTGACTTTTTTATTAAATGTATTTGTCCAGGTGGACATTCAATTGAAACAAAATTTTAATGATTTACGATAATCACAAAATGATACATTTCGAAATTAAAATCATAAATGGTTTGCATGTATGAAAATATTTTATATAGCGTATATGAATTAGTTTAACATAATATAACAATAATGCACATCTTTATATGTATCATTTAAATTTCATCATACCAGCCCTTGGGGACTTTGTTTGTTTTACATTTATTCCATTGTAAACTATTCCAAATCCAAGTCCTTGAATATATTCCGGTGGAGGTGGTAAGCTCGGTAGTTTTGGATACATGGACTTCATTGTGAACTTAGCATTGTTGAACAATTGCTGATTGCACCAAATTATGCTCTTGTTATATCCATCGGAACAAGGTACGCTAGTTAAAAACAATGCATTGATACGGTTTAGTGCGCGTCTACCTTTATAACTATAAGCAGAACATCTGCCAACTGCATCAAAAGCCGATTGTTTGGGCTGATAAGCTTAAAGCATTGTTACTGCCATTATAAGTGCAATGTTACCAGTTCGAATCACAACCCAGGCAGAATTCATTTCAAATGCATTTGCGTCTTTCTTCTTCTGAAATATTTATTTGTAAGATCCTATTTGTTTCTAAATTGAAAATAAGTCATTTCGTCGTCATAGAAACTGACAACCTCAACCTCTTACAATGCGTTAAGGCATCTGTTATGTAGCTGTAGATCGTTGGTACTGTCGCTTAAAATTTGATGGTCAGGATTTAGCATCAAAGCCAAAGCGGGATTTTTTCTGCGAAGACACTTCAACTTCATGAATAATTATTCCGGATCTTTACAATTGTGAATTCACAATTATAACTGCGTGAATTCAGTTTTTCAATATACGGAATTTACGATTTTAGGTTCATGAATTCACAATTTCATTTTAACGAATTAACAATTTCAACTTCACAAACTCACGAATTCAGCTCCAAGAATTCACAATTTCAACTTCACGAATTCACGATGTTAACTTCACGAATTCACGATTTTAAATTCGTGAGTTCACGATTTCATCATCGTGAAGTTGATATCGTGAATTCACGAAGTGGTAATACATAATTAATAATTAACTCGATATATTTTAAAAAGGGGAAATACACTCGTTCCCCTTTTTAAGGCACTATTTTTACATTATTTTCAGCTAAAGTAATGGTATTGTTTTGTGAAAAGTAAAAGACAAACAGCTAAAGTAAACATCCAAATTTTATTTTTTGTTTCTTTTGCAAATGTTTTCGGGGGAACCGTTCCCCCGAAGAACAAAAGCCATGTACAGAATACAACATGATTCGATAAATAAAAAGCAATTGTTCAGTAATAAGAGATACATTATGCTTACGGGGAAACCATTCCCTCATCAAAATAAAAAGCAAATTTCAAAACTTATCTTTAACACATACTCTAAAGTGGAACCATTCCCCCTTAAAAAAAATAGATATAACAATTTGATCAAATAAAATGCAATAATTAAGAAATAAGAGCCATGTAACCGATAAAAGGGAACCATTCCCCCATCAACAAATTAAACTTCAAAACTTATTAAACTTCAAAACACATTTTCTAAAGTGGAACCGTTCCCCCATAACAAATTAACAGATATAACAATTGGATAGAATAAAATGCAATAATTTAGAAATTCAGAGCCATGTTACCAGTAAGAGGGAACCGTTCCCTCTTCGAAATAATTTTTTTTTTTTAAAAACTTAAGTATGACACATTTTCTAAAGTGGAACCGTTCCCCCTTAACAAAACAGAAATAACAATTTGATAGAATAAAATGCAATAATTTAGAAATTAAGACCAAGGTTACCCGTAAGAGGGAACCGTTCCCTCATCAAAATAAAAATAAATTTCAAAACTTATCTCTTACCCATTTTCTAAAGTGGAACCATTCCCCCTTAACAAAACAGGTTCAAAAATTTGATAGAATAAAATGCAATAATTTAGAATTTTAGAGCCATGTTACCGCTAGGAGGGAACCGTTCCCTCATCGAAATAGAAAATAAATTTCAAATCTTATTTATAACACATTTTCTAGAGTGGAACCGTTCCCCCTTAACAAAATAGATATAACAATTTGATATAATAAAATGCAATAATTTAGAAATTCAGAGCCATGTTACCAGTAAGAGGGAACCGTTCCCTCATCGAAATAAAATTTTTTTTTTATAAAACTTAAGTATGACACATTTTCTAAAGTGGAACCGTTCCCCCTTAACAAAACAGAAATAACAATTTGATAGAATAAAATTGAATAATTTAGAAATTTGGAGCAAGGTTACCCGTAAGAGGGAACCGTTCCCTCATCGAAATAAAAAATAAATTTCAAAACTTATCACTTACCAATTTTCTAAAGTGGAACCGTTCCCCCTTAACAAAATAGATATAACAATTTGATAGAATAAAATGCAATAATTTAGAAATTCAGAGCCATGTTACCAGTAAGAGGGAACCGTTCCCTCATCGAAATAGAAAATAAATTTCAAATCTTATTTATAACACATTTTCTAGAGTGGAACCGTTCCCCCTTAACAAAATAGATATAACAATTTGATAGAATAAAATGCAATAATTTAGAAATTAGGACCAAGGTTACCCGTAAGAGGGAACCGTTCCCTCATCGAAATAAATTTATTTTTTTAAAAACTTAAGTATGACACATTTTTAAAGTGGAACCGTTCCCCTTAACAAAATAGAAATAACAATTTGATAGAATAAAATGCAATAATTTAGAAATTTGGAGCAAGGTTACCCGTAAGAGGGAACCGTTCCCTCATCAAAATAAAAAATAAATTTCAAAACTTATCACTTACCAATTTTCTAAAGTGGAACCGTTCCCCCTTAACAAAATAGATATAACAATTTGATAGAATAAAATGCAATAATTTAGAAATTCAGAGCCATGTTACCAGTAAGAGGGAACCGTTCCCTCATCGAAATAATTTTTTTTTTTTTAAACTTAAGTATGACACATTTTCTAAAGTGGAACCGTTCCCCCTTAACAAAACAGAAATAACAATTTGATAGAATAAAATGCAATAATTTAGAAATTAAGACCAAGGTTACCCGTAAGAGGGAACCGTTCCCTCATCAAAATAAAAAATAAATTTCAAAACTTATCACTTACCAATTTTCTAAAGTGGAACCGTTCCCCCTTAACAAAATAGATATAACAATTTGATAGAATAAAATGCAATAATTTAGAAATTCAGAGCCATGTTACCAGTAAGAGGGAACCGTTCCCTCATCGAAATAAAATTTTTTTTTTAAAAACTTAAGTATGACACATTTTCTAAAGTGGAACCGTTCCCCCTTAACAAAACAGAAATAACAATTTGATAGAATAAAATGCAATAATTTAGAAATTTGGAGCAAGGTTACCCGTAAGAGGGAACCGTTCCCTCATCAAAATAAAAAATAAATATCAAAACTTATCTCTTACCCATTTTCTAAAGTGGAACCATTTCCCCTTAACAAAACAGAAATAACAATTTGATAGAATGAAATACAATAATTTAGAAATTTAGAGCAAGTTTACCCGTAAGAGGGAACCGTTCCCTCATCGATATAAAAAACAAAATTCAAAACTTATCACTTACCAATTTTCTAAAGTGGAACCGTTCCCCCTTAACAAAACAGATATAACAATTTGATAGAATAAAATGCAATAATTTAGAATTTTAGAGCCAGGTTACCAGTAAGAGGGAACCATTCCCTACTCAAAATAAAAAATAAATTTCAAAACTTATCTATGACACATTTTCTAAAGTGGAACCGTTCCCCCTTAACAAAACAGATATTACAATTTGATAGAATAAAATGCGATAATTTAGACATTTTGATCAAAGTTAAAGATTGCGGACGGCAATGGAAAAGCTGCCATTGACTGTAACAATACCTCTATTTTTTTCTTTGAAAAAAAAATGACAAGCTAAAAATGGTGAAAATACACTAATTTGACATATAAGTTCAAGACCATTATGAGGCAAATTTAGTTTCAATTGCTAAATTTGAGCCACAAATAAATCACTAAATAAGAAACATTTTGACTGATCTATCATATGAAAAACAAATTTGATTAAATGCCTTGGAACTAAATTTCACTGCAATGAGATACATCTGTCTATTAAGTTTCACTTCAATAGCTCCAATAGGTAGACTGTGAGGCAGACAGACAGACAATCTGATTCTAGTATATCCCACTTATCATCATAGTTGTGTAGGGTTTATAAAAATAATCTAGAACAAGCCGCTTCCATATGTTATAGCACAATTTTGTTTGTTCATTCAACAGTAATTTGCTTGTACTGGTTTGAAAGCCTGTGTGTATAACAATCACTCTCAACATCTCTCTTCACAGCCATACAGGTATTGTTAAACAATTTTTAGCTACCAAATCGAAGTTACAACAGAATATGCCCATGTAAAATCCAATTATTTTCTGCCATTTTGAGTCTTTTTCACAACAGTATCTGAAAATAAATAAGGATTCATTTAACTTTTTTCATTTCATTATTTGCTTGCATCTATCATTTCACAAAATAATCTTTTCAAATTCTGGGACTTTGTAAGATACAAGTGAATGACTTAAAAAAAACCAGATAAATACATGTATATAAGGCCAAAAAAACAAAAACAACTTGTTTCTGGTCACAGTCCCCTAAATGAACAAGGTCAGTAGGTAGGGATTTTTTGGGGGGTTGACTGTTAAACCGATGACATATATGCAAAGTGCTGCATTAAATATAAATGGATCCCATGTCATTCTGACATATTGGTCAGGGGTAAAATATACAGTCAGTCGGCAGACCAGAAACAAGATTTTTTTTTTTGGCCTAAGCAAAATACTGACAAAATGTTTGAAATTAGGATCATAAAATTTTGTTGCATGTTAAGAATAATTCTTATATTACTTTTATTTTTTGTGTGAGAGGTTCAAAACAGGAATCCTTTACATAATTCTGTTAGATGTACTTAAAGTTCAGGCTCACCAACTTTATATAATTATATATTGAGTGCATTGGATTTTGCTGTGATGTAGGGGAAATTATGACAAAAAAGAAGTATCTTTAAAAAGATACTTGGACAAGAATAAACTGTTTATTACTTGTCTTTTTAAAACCACTTGCCCCTTATCACTGTGTGTTCGAATCCCGACAGGGACTTTGGATTATTTCATGTGAGGAAGCTATTCAGCTAGCTTACGGAACGTCGGTGGCTTTACTCAGGTGCCCGTTCATGCTTGAAAAAATACACGGAGGGGCACCTGAGGTCTTCCTCCACCAGTAACGCTGGAAGGTCGCCAAATGACCTATAATGTGTCGGTGTAACGTAAAAAACCCAAATCAAACAAGAGAGCCATGATGGCCCTGAAATCGATCACCTGTATGTAGGCCCCCTGGGCGGGGCCAATTTTGTCCCAAGGGCTTTTATTTGAACAAACTTGGTATTCACTCACTAGAAGATGTTTCATGCTTAATATCTAAACTCTAGCTCTTTGAGTTTTTTAAAAGAAGACTTTTTAAGTTTTTACTATATACATATAAGGAAAATCAATGATCCCCGGGGCGGGGCCAATTTTAACCCTAGGGCCCTTATTTGCACTAAAATGGTAGACACCCATTAGAACATGATTCATGCTAAATATCTTAGCTCTAGCTCTTAGAGTTTTTTAAAAAAAAGATTTTTTAATTTTTTACTATATACATATAAGGAAAATCAATGATCCCCGGGCCAGGGCCAATTTTGACCCCAGGGCCCTGATTTGAACAAATTTGGTAGACACCCACTAGAAGATGTTTCATGCTTTATATCTAAGCTCTAGCTATTTGGGCTTCTTAAAAGAAGATTTTTTAAGTTTGAACTATACACAATTAAGGAAAATCAATGACCCCCCCCCCCTGGGGCAGGGCCAATTTTGACCCCAGGGCATTTATTTGAACAAACTTGGTAGACACTGACTAGATGATGTTTCATGCCAAATATTTAAGCTCTAGCTTTTGGGGTTTTCTAAAACTGCTCTAGCTTTTGGGGTTTTCTAAAAGCAGATATTTTAAGTTTTTACTTTCCGTTGCCATGGCAACCAGAGTTCTGCTTAGAATTAAATTCTTTGAATAATTTTAAAGTTGACTACCAAAGGAACATTCCTGTGAAGTTTGGATGAAATTGGCTTAGCGGTTTATGAGGAGATGTTTAAATAAAAGTTTACAGACGGACGGACGCCAGACGAAAAGCGATCACAAAAGCTTACCATGTCACTTTGTGACAGGTGAGCTAACAAACAAATCAAACTTGTCTTTTTGTATGCACTTGTTTTTCTGGGAAGTTTATTGTCTCATCATTTTAGAGTGTCATTTATAACTCAGTAAATTCTACTATTGAATAAGATATTCACTAGAGAATTAATGAACATTTTTAAAGCAGTGAAAAATATTTATTGGGAAGAAGTTCACAGATATCAAATGTGTGACCTTGACCTTTGACCTTCAGACCTGGTTCATGTGCATGACACTGCTTCTCATAGTGGTGAACATTTCTATAAAGTTTCATTAGAATCACTCCATATGTGTAGGAGATTATTCTCTGGACAAAAGCAATAGTTTCTCATCTTTAGTTGCATATATTAACCTAAATTACATGTTTCACACCTGTAGTCATGATAATGACCATTTGTGTTTCAATCCCTCAATAAATGATGACTAAATGGTCCAAATACAAATTTTAAAATTTTTATTAAAACTTTGACACATAAATTATGTGTCAACTTGACAGGGATCTAAAATTTTCCACCCGATACTCTGCCTAACAATGGTGATATTTGTGCCAAATTATATTGAAATCCCTTTATGCATGTAGAAGTTTTGCTACGGACAAGTGTTTTTCAGTTACCTGTAAGTGTGACCTTGACCTTTGACATAGAGACTTGGTTCATTGTACGCTTCACAGTTTCACATAGTGGAACAAATTTTCTATGAAGTTTCATTAAAATTCCCCAATGAGTGTAGAAAAATTATGTTCCGGATAAAAATAAAATAGCGTCTGTCCAGCCGCCCGCCATGGGGGGGGAAACTAATATATAAAAGAGAAAAAAAGAAGATATCATGGTAATTTTAAAACTGACATATATATAGCCAGTTCTACCTGTAGGGATATCTTTATCTTTGCCAAATGAAACATAACAAATGCAGACCTGGGGTAATCATTAATTGTAATCATTGATTATGTAATTGATTACATGATTACACTGTAATCATCATGTAATTGATTACCTTGCCCAAAATTGATTATATTAATTGTAATTAATCAATTACAGCTTAAATTCAGACAGTAATTATGATTACATTTTGATTGACATTGATTACTTTCAGATTTAACAGTAAACTATTTAAATTTAAAGGATGCCTTTATTTTACATGATACAGTTTAATTTTTGTTTTACATTTATACTGTAAAAATCCTCAATTGAGACCACTATTCAGACTGAAACAAAGTGAATATTCTAATCATTATTTACATACTTTAAGACCATGGTCTACTTTAGTCATTTTGTATGAATAAACAATATGTATAAATAAACAACATGTACCTACAAATACATTATAAAAGACTCTATCAAAAAATGCTTTGATATTTAATCTGATAAAAAGAAAACATATTTCTGAAGAAATTAAACTTTAATTTTACAGTATCACTTATTATATGATGTACATAAATCAAATAAAAATTTAATTTTTCAAAAAATAAATGTGCTGAATGCAACAATGTACCACTCTAAAATGGACATTCTCACCTAATTTCATACAATAACAGTTTTTCACACCTTTTGAAATCAGAGCTTTCAAGCAGATCATAGCAACAAATTTAAGATCTTAATAGGTGTTGACTTTAATATAAGTGGTCTCATTAGTCACATTAAAATTAAAACAAAATTTTTGACTGAATATGGTGGTCTTAGAAGTGAATAAGCAGGTGGTTAAATCTGGATCATGAAACCATTGGCATAAAGAACCTTTTTAAAAATGGTCCTAAATGCGGGGTGGTCTTAATTCTGGGGTGGTCTAATGTACATTCAATGTAATCAATTATCAATCAATTACTCTCTTAAAGTAATTGTAATTCAATTGATTACAGAGGCAAGTGTGAGTAATCAATCTTAATCAATTACCATAAAATCTGAAAGTAATTGTAATTTAATCAATTACTGATCAATGTAATCATCCCCAGGTCTGAACAAATGTTAGTCATTGAAACTGCAAATTTCACTTCTATGCATATTTAATAACTATAAACAAATATGTTGATGTTTTTTAGAACTGTTTTGTGTGGGACATGTAGCTTTAACTAATTTATTTTGAAATTCTATCATGCATGTAGAAGTAAGCACAAGCACACATTTTTTAGCCTTTTAAACGTTCTTTGTAGAGTTACTTACATTTTCTTTTTTTGAGTGGCCTCTGTTTATTATCACCAGTCTTCTCTAATCACATTCCCCTTGCTCACATGCAGTTTACTGGCTAAGATAATAGACCCTGAAATTTTAAGCAAAAGTATTACCATTTCTAGTCTTATAGCCATTACACTAAAACCAGATCCCACTAACTAGTTTTATTATGTTGTTAAAAATAAAAGAAAAATAATAAAGTGAAAACAAGCAATTATCATGGTATTGCAAGCAATCCATTATTAAAGTCCCCTACTGGTTAGAACCCCAGCAACATTATGATGGGTCATTGGCCATTCAATTATGCCACTGAATGAATGAATGATATGAATGAACTTAAAGCTTTCAAGTTCTTTGTTTGTCTATATCTTAGTAATGTGTTAAGTTTCCAAGCCTGCCTTATAAGGAAATCTGTGGAGAAATAAGTAAGTTAAGGAATGAATAAGAAAAATTCAATGTTTAAGGAGATAATTCTGGCAACAATTGTATGCTAGATTTGTAACCCTTGTCATATGATGTGGGAGTTTGAAGTAAATGCTATAAGGAATGAAAAAGTTTAAGTAAAAAATAATTTATTTCTAGCAAAAAATCTCAAGTGCATGGGACCTAATTCTGGAAATAGTCAAGCTATAGTATTGAACCTTCTCACAAATATATATCAAGTTTCATAAAAATATTTTCAGTACTTTTTGTGTTATCTCAGGATTCAGTTTTGTGGACGGACTCACTGCAGCAGACGGACAGACAGAGAGTAAACCTCAAATCCCCTCTGGTTAAACCGGTAGGGGACGTATTATATAACAAATGATTATAGAATGTTTAAAGGGTACTATAAGCTTTAGATTGTTTGAGTAATCTTATAACACAACATTACTGCATAGTCATGCTGTGTTGTATTACTCCGAGTTGACCATCAAAGCACTTTAACCTTAATAATTACCTGTGGATTGAAAATTGATCCATTAGTTTAATAAAAAATCAAACATTAAGGAATTGTTACTTTAATAACAAGGAACTACATGAAAGAGATTATTTCTAGTTTATATTCTACAGTAAAACCTTAATTTGTTTTCCATAAATCTATGATTTCTCAGCCCATTTTTTTTCCAGTTATCTTTCATTTGAATGAAAATTGAAATGATTGGAATGAAATAAGAACATTACTAATGAAATTAAAAAAATCCTTGTTTCCAGATAATGTAAAAAATGGCATACCAATAGTACTTTTCTAAACATAAAATTATTTACAAAATACTATATTTGTATAATCAGATTTATCTTTGTAAAAGATATTATGATACAGAGTGAAGTAAAAAATGAACCATAAATATGCAAGCTTGAATTTCTTATTGCTACATACACAAATTTAAATTATCAACAATTAAAACTTTATCCAACTTTTTCATTCCAGAAATCCTAACCATATCCTTTACTTATGATTTCCTTCCACTTTATTTATAACAATTGAATTAGGTCAAATGGTAAGAAAATGTTCTTGAATTTTAAGGGGAAAAAAAACAACAACAGAAACCCCCCCCCCCCCAAAAAAAAATTAATTTATTCAGGGTGTCGAATGTGTGTTGAGTTTTTATGTTTTTTTATTTAATTGACTCTGTTGCCAGAGTATAAAATTTTTACATTCAATATTTAATCCCCATACTAAATTTATTTACAGCTTATATAATGATGGGCATGCTGTCCCACTGTTTTGTAGTATATCACACTATACTGGCACCCCCACTTCCCAATATACAGCTTGTTAATTAACTTCCAATTTATTAACTTCCATTAAAGTGCCAGTCCCATCTGTGTGTATATAGTTATAGGATCCATATCCCACTGTTTTATGAGGGGCTGGGACAGATAATTTCTTTACTATTTAAGGTTAAAGAATCTATGTTTTAACAATTGACTAATTCTAATCACCGTGAATATAATACTTTCAACATCTCAAACTTTTGCACCTCTTCTAATTATATCCTGTTTTGGATTTTGTTGGTGTTGTTTTCTTCCAGTTCTTATTTTTTCAGTACTTAGTATTTTTGGCGTCCGCGCAGAAGCGCGGCGCCTATTGGAATGAAATGAGATTTTGTGAAAGGGCGACAGCAACTTCTCGAGCCTTTTATAGTTGCCAATAATAAAAGCCGATCATTCCGATCGGTATGAGGGTGCTTGATTGTTAATTAGTCGCGATATGTACAATGAATGGCGAACTGGAGAATTTCGCAATGCAAAAATTTTCAAATGAAATAACCTTTTCCGTCAATAAATCGCGCTCTTCGGGGTATTTTTGCTTATCATTTTGTAGTACACAGTGGGTTATTACGGTATGTTATTCCGAAAGCTGTTAATAGAATGATGAGTTGATGACCTTAATATTCCGAAAATCTATTTATAGAGGGATGTACTCCTAGGTAATTCCCGGTCTCTCCCGGGATTTACTAATGACCGGCGAATAGTACCACACGTTTATTGTCCGGTCTCTCCCGGTTTTGGAGTAGATATCGTTACAGAACAGAACAAATATTTTACAGATAAATAAGCTTTTTTTCAAAATGAATGTTTGTCACTTAGTTTGGTTACAATAATTAATAAACACAGATCAACTCTCGAATTGATTGATTATTATTATACATAAACATACAATTCGAAAAAAAAAACCAACAACACAAATCGCATGTTATATTTTATCTATATGAGATAAAAACAATAAATATGTACAATAATTATGTATATGGTTTAAGAATAAACAATATTATAAATTGAAAGATTAACCATGATTTACTGACTTTTTCCAGTTAAGTTTTGACTTATAATCGTCGATCATTATGACAATTGAATTCTTAAAATAGTAGTAAACGTAAAAACTCAGTATTAAAATAGCGCATAAAACACACACAAAAAAAGAAAAGAAAACAATATTCATAAAATCTGTATTTTTTTTATTAAAATAGAAATTACATTTATTGTATAATAAACAATTATGCTCAACATGATCAACATGGTAATATAACAAGTGTCATATTGTTACTTAGTGTGAACAGATACCTTAAGAGGGGGTCCTCGTTAATAGCAATAACATAATAAGGGACAATTACACAAGTATGGTGTTGATCATGCGTTACACATATGGATTATAAATGATTGTATACATGTATATCCGTTGCTATTAATAACCACGATCATAAAGAAATAACAAGTAATATTCTAATTTCTAGCATGCCGATCAAAGTTATAAATAATGAACAATGTCTTTCGTCCGTTCATTCAAAAGTGATATACAATTCTGGTAAAACCCAATGAACCATTGAAAAGTTTATAAGAATATCTTGTCATCATATATCTACTAGTTCATCTGCACCTGCTGTTTGGACGCCCTTTGATGCTTTGCATCAATGCTTTTCTTGTATTTTAGTGTGAAAAATTCCTATACCATTGGCAGATTCAGGCCCGGGCTTCAGGGCTACAGCCCCCCCCCCCCCCCCCCCCCCAGCTCATTTACTAGCTCAGGGCTTGGAAGAATATATTTTAGCTAATTTCAAACTTTATTGGCTGCAGTATATACTCCCTTATCAAAACAGTTATTGCTGTCATCCAGTTGTTATTAATCTCCTGTCTGAGGGCTTGGCAGAGATCTTTATCTATCAACATACTTGAATGACTTCAATGTTTAAACAACATAATTAATGGTTTATTACCTTTCCAAAGGTCTAATGAAATTAATTGTCACAGATATTGGCAAATAGGTGTGTTACATAGTATACCATATTTTACTATCTTTGTTTAACCATTTTTTGCGAAAGCTTTAAAATTAAGAAACTGAAAATTATTATTTGTAAATTAAAAGGTGGCAATTTTTATAAAGATAATATTAAAGGAAATTTAGGAATCACATCTTCATAACTGGTTATACTAAAAATTTTATTAAGATGAAATAATTGGTCATTTGCTTTTAATATTTTTTTATGGCAGATATATCTTTTAAATGAGCCGCGTCACAACAAAACCAACATAATGGGTTTGCGACCAGCATGGATTCAGACCAGCCTGCGCATCCGCACAGTCTGATCAGGATCCATGCTGTTCGCTATCAGTTTCTCTACTTGTAATAGAGTTGGAAAGCGAACAGCATGGATCCTGATCAGACTGTGGTCATGACACGGTCATGACACGGCTCAAATAAAATATTAATGAAACATTACTTTTCATGATTATTGTTTTATCACTGGATACTTTATGGGTTTTTACCCAAACTAGAATTGGTAACATTAAATTTTAACTCTGATTCAATTCCACACATGATTTCCTCATTTGATTTCTCAGTTCTTTTTTCAAAATTTAGCATAAAAAGAAATATGCTGACTGTCGCTAATTCAGGCAACATTTTGTAGCTCTAGGTTCTTTAAAATATATAAAAGTTTTTCAAAATTACAACTATCTCAAAGAATCCTCACATATTTTTGTAAAATACCCTTAATTGGATACACTAAGTTTTAGTTAATAATTTAATAACTTGAAAAACTTCCCAAACAATATTTATAATAAGTGTGTAGGGCCTACAAGTCTCTTTCAAAAAAGTCTAGTGATTTGCAGTTCAAACAACTGTAAATTGACCTCACAAGTAAACGGACAACCGGTTATTTAGATTATGCAAACACACCTACAGTGAGGAAAATACTCGCTTACTGGTGTCAATATTGAAATTCTTAAATAATGTATTCACACCAAATATTCCCTATTTTTTTGTACTAGGATGGTTCAAGCGAAAATTGCTTTAAAAAAAATACATACCTAAAAGGAAACTCTATTTCATGTGAGTCCCACTCCCATCCATTAAAATCTCTTCAATTACTGATCTTTACTGAAATATTTTATTGTATTTCAGTCTGATTCCCTGTTTTGAAGTCATAGCGGTCTGTCACTGAAGTATTTACTGTGATAAGACTATAAGGCAGTTGAGCCACTAGAGTCTAAGACTACATGTTTCTGAAAAATTAAGACCATTACATCTAAATCAAAGTATTAAAAAAAGAACAATATTACAAAAAAATGATTTTTTTATTTAAATATTTTGATATTAGATCTATATTGCAATTTTCATGAATACACGAGATTAAACATATTTTAGGTAAAATCAATCGGACAACTCAAGATTTCTATCTAGATTTCTATATCTAAAATCTACTTGTAAATAAATTACAAAATTTAAGAAGTTATATATAAATCTACAGTAGTCAGTTATTTACTCACCTAGTCTTTAAGAAACATCCCGCATGTCTACGGCAAATTTAAACGAGACCTCTTGTAACAATTAATTTACACGTTTAAACCTCAGCTTTGCGTGTCTTTAAACTACACAGGCACCCGCTCGAAGTTCAAAGAGTTTCGGCGGCAACGGACAAATCGATACGCTTACACGGGGGAGTCAGGTACTCCGTATGCAGGACACAATTTTCGTGAAAGCATTTTCGTTTATCTGTGACTTAAAATACCTTTTGTCCCAGGTTTTATAGGATAATTAAATTATCCTTTCCATCAGTTATGAATAATTGAAATGTTGATTCATCAGAAATATCATTAAAACGTTTACACACTGGCATCGAGCTGGACACCCCTTCAATGGCGTGAAAATGAAGTCGTCCACTTATGCGTCATCAACTGCATTGACCCCGTTGTGTGATTACCGTGGAAAGTTAAATATTCGGTCATCCAAAAGGTTTTTGTGCCGGAGATAGTAAACTTCAAAAGGGATATTTGTGATGTGGAAGGGGAAATGAACGAACACGGATACATTTTGTAGTTTTGGGTGAGTTTTTTTCTTAGTCTATACAGTAAACAAATTGGAAATCATCTGGATTAGACCAGTTTTTATATATAATTTTCAGAAGTAAAACCTGTAGATCTAGCAGTATATTGCATCGGCTATCTACTAGATCTATACTGTTTATATAATAGATCTACATAAAAGAATACGGAATAAATCTTGTAAATAATATAGTGGTTGGGTTGGGGCACAAGGATAAGATGCTTTCCCCTACTGCTAAACCAAAATCAATTACTAGAGGTTTTTTTGGAGTGTAGGACAAAAGCCCCCCCCCCCCGGACGAAAGCCCCCCCCTTCTAAAAATGACAAAGTGGACAAAAGCCCCCATAAAATTTACACATAAGACAAAAGCCCCCCCCCCCTCAAAAATACAGGTAGGACAAAAGCCCCCCCCCCCCCAGTACAGCAAACAAAAGCCCCCCTAAGGTTTATAGACCAGACTGATAACTATCTTTTATCACACGCCCAGTGTTAGGGAACTTGGGTTATACTTCAAATAAATCTGGACAAATGTGCCCATAAACATTCCTTCTACATTTGTTAGTCAAAATTTGAAGTGACTGGTAGGATTTATCAAGTTATGTAGAGTAAGTAGACTGTCAAGTCAAGTCACGAATTCGAAAACCTAGCTAAACGCTGTTTTCCGGTACTTTCTGTACATAGCTCTGTGGAATTCACCTAATGGAGTGTAATAGCGAAGTCAATGTTTTCGGCCTTTTTTTAAAATTAAACTGAAATAAAACACTTATTTCTTTATAAGAAAATAATTAAATATCATTGTATGAATAATTCCATAAAAAATAAAGTAAATACACAAGTTTACGCAGAAAATAACCTTATTTACAATTAGTATAGAAGATTCCACTACGTCTGTTTGAATTTTATTGATTTTCATTATATAAACTATTTATTTTTATGAATAATTTGCAATATATTATATTATTATATATAGCTATTAAACAAATATTGATAATTTTCAAAAACATCAATTTATTTCACATTAAACGGTTAAATAATGATAGAAAAATAGACATATCTTGTAACTGTGTTATGTACTTCATTTGGTGTAATTCCCCAGAGCTAAAACGGTAACGTACCGGAAAACGGTGTTTAGCTAGGTTTTCGAAAAGGTCAAGGGAGGTAATAAAAGTTTGGAATTTTGGCAAACACTGTACTTCACAGAATGTGCACATTTATCCAGATTTAACAGTTTTATATTGTGCAAATTGACATAATAATGCATAATTGAGCACTCTTAATTGTTACAAATGTATATAATGTCATATAAAGTCAACAGTGGTATCTTTACTGCATTTTTAGGTGTATGCCAGAATAAATGGGGTCTGGTTTCCTGTAAAATTCATTTTAGGACATTAAATGTGGCTGTAATATTGTTTTTCTTGCTATAATCTCCTTCCAAAAGACTTTAAATACTCTGAAAATACTTTATGGTATTTAAATGAAGGTGGAATAAAGAAAAATAAGCATCTCACAGGTCCCTGTCACTTGATATTAAGTAAATCATATAACAGGCATGGTCATTGTACTAGTTACTTCCCCTGAAATAGGGTCTTTTTAAATATTTGATTAAATACAAAGTAACCGCAGTATTCACTTTTCGAAGTTAACGTTTAATGCGAAATACTCCATATTTTAAGAAAATAAAAGGAAATGCTTTAATGCGGATCACATGAAAAATCTTAAGGGGGCAGGGGACATATTCGAATGATGGCCCCGGTCAAATTTTTTAATAACTCAGACATGGTGTTTTGAAGGTACTGATAACTTCTGATATTTCTCTGTCATTGTAATTCTTTCTTGTTTGTGTGTAGGAAATGAGATATATTTTTGGGTTTTTACCCGAAACTAAGCATTTTGGTAGCTTTGTATGTATTTCTGACTCTCCGAATGGAGGTGAAAAAGTTAAAAATCAAGCTTTGACAGTTGGCGCCAAACAAGTAAGAAATTTCAGATAAATTTTGTGAAAAATCTAAACGTATGACAGACACTTTATTTGTCATTTCTGAAAATGCCATAGCTTGCACTGCAACTGTTACTGATATTTTTAAAGAAATCGGGCGAATTCTGGAGTATGCTGCACCTTCATGAAGATTGCCCATATTGGTATATTTTAGGTGTGATTTTGGCTGGGTGGGGGTAAATATAAATTGCTGTCAGTCATTTTTTGAAGGAGCAATGCATGCAAACTATTATTTTATTTCGTAAATACTTCTCCTACCTGACACTGCCTTAGATAATCTCTATCTGACCATATAAACCCGCATATTTTTTTAAGCGCCGGATAATAAACCTCTACTGATGACGTATTATCCGGAACCACGTGGAACACGCTCTCCCATGATTCAGTTTTTCTCTTGAGCGGCCATTGAGCACATGGAAGTGTGCCACTCGCGTGAAAATTTTATTGTTTGTTGGATTTATTTAATTTGTTTTGTTTTAATGGCGGAAGTTCAGGTAAGGAAAGGTGTAGTAGCGATAGAGGAAGGAGAAATTCCTTCGGATAAAATGGGCATTTCTATTGACAATTCTCAGAAAGAAACTCTTAATAATAGTTGGCATTGTGACCAGCCATCATTTTTGACAGCTACGGGGGATAATTATGAGGAGTTATTTCCTGTAGACGCAGAAACTGAAAAAAATTTTTACAATTCCCATCTCTTTGATGATATGGTTGAGGATCTCCTTGTTGAAAATTATGGCTCAAAAGCCGCGTTCACATCAAAAAAAGACTTCCCTTTATTCAATCAGCCATGTAAAAAAAAAATGGTGGAACATTTTTTGTATAAAGGTCAACAAGGGCAGCCAAAATTTAATGCGCTTACTATGCAGTTTATACACACCAGCAGTGTCTTGGTAAATTAATGGTAGCTTTTTCAAGATGACTCCTTTTAGATAAAGAAAAAATGTAAAACGCAAAATTCGTTGACATTTTTGCTATATTCAACAAAAATTGTTTTAGAACAAATTGCAGAACAGGTGTTATTCACCATATAGGTCGAAAGGCAATTAAGCAATTGGCAGACACTAAATTGTTTAAACTTAGGGATAGGGACACTATTTCTAACTTCCACTTAGAAGTGATGGGTTGTTTTGGTTCACAAACTTAATTCTAATTTTGGAAAAATAGAAAAGACAAAAAGGAAAGCTATAAAAGGAACTTTTTCCGGAGTTTAGGTTTAAATAGAAAACGTAAGGCAGTCCACAGAAGGAGTCTCTTACCAAAACTTTGAAGAGATCTAAGCCTTGCTGCTACTGTTTTCTTAGCTAAGACTACTGCTAGAAACACCGTCAAACTTCTCTGGTGATTTTCGCATTCCACGCATTCAAAAAGGGGAAAAATCTCAGTATCAAAAGTGGAAGGGACCGTTTTTCTACTAGAAGGAAAAAACCAGATTTTAACCAGAACGTTCAAGTGTCAAGGAACCCGACTGGGAGACCACAGTTAAAAAAATGACAGGTAAAGTGTTTATAATTGCGAAGTTTCCAAAGAAATACCTGTCGGAGGCGTTTGTCTCATTTTTTTCCAAGAATGGAAAAATATAACAACAGACAAATGGGTACTAGAAATTAATTCAAACCACGGCTACAAGCTAGAATTTTTTGAAATTCCCTTTTTCAATGGAATAAAGGAAAACTCGAGTTCCATCTTTTCAAACAAATCTTATAGGTTTAGAAATAGAAAATCTCTTTTAAAAAAGAAAAGCTATCGAAAAAGTAGACAAAACTATTGCACATTGCCCGGTTTTTACAGCACTTATTCCTAGTACCAAAGAAAAATGGGAAATGAGACCGGTGATTAAATCTAAAGCCTCTGAACAAGTATTTAAGGAAACTTTTCATTCAAAATGGACACGTTAAGGCAAAGTTCCTGAACCTAGTTCAAAAAGGAGACTGGGGTCTAACATTAGACTTAAAAGACGCTTATTTTCATATAAGATTTTTACAAGGGACATCGGCAAAATTTCTTCGTTTTTATTTCCAAAATCAAAAGTTTATCAATTTCGAGCTCTTTGTTTCGGCCCAAACAGTGAGTCCAAGGGTTTTTAACAAAAATTGTAGCTACAGTAACAGCACATTTACATCGTCAGAATATACGTCTAGCATCTTACCTAGACGATTGGCTAGCTGTTGATCAAACCAGAAACAAATTACTTCTATAGAGAAATTTCAATCTTAAGGTCTCCTTTTTTCGACTAGGATTCATAGTAAACAAAGAAAAGTCAAAAATTTAATCCCAAGTCAAGATTTTAACTTACATAGGCGGTTTGTTTCATTTGAAAAACAGGTCATGTGTTTCCGACGGAAACAAGGGTAAAAAAAATTTTAAAGACGTCTGTGATCGATTTGCTATCGGTTCAACCAACAGCAAAACATTTTTTTCTTTGTTCTTATTGGCCAGATTGCTTCTTGTCTGTTGCTTCATACCAAATGCTACACGACTGTTTCATGCGCCCTATTCAGTTATTTTTACTAGCAAATTGGAGTCCAGTCAGCATGAATTTATCAAAAATAATTCCATTGACTTCCAGAGCTTCGTTTACATCTGA